ATATATGATGGAGTGCTACATTCAACACCTGGCAGCATTTGGAAATGAACATCAAGTACATGGTAGAAAGGGTGCCACTCCATCTACACCAGCAGAATGCCACAACCCTACTCTCAACTGAGTGGTGTTGTGCACCTCAGAAGGGCTGACCTCCAAGGTCCACCACCCCAGCAGCTAGGAACTTGTAAGTGGCAAGAACTCCCATACTCCACTAGAAGAAGCAGGGGGAAAATGTGTTGGAGAGGTTGGAGGACTGCAGCATTGCTATACCCTATTTTGAAAAGCAGAGTGATCACAATGATGAAGTGAATCATCCAACACCTGGTGGCATCTGGAATTATACATCAGGTTTGCAGTAAGATGAACATCAAATGTCATGGATCATCAAAGATGGGGAGCTATCCCTGTCTGCTTTATTTATGCTAGTGTATAAGTGTATGGTGTGGGACAACATACTTATGAAGCAAAAGACTGCACACAAGGTATTCCTACGACATAATATAACTTGGTTAAGTGTTATGACACTGAATTTTGAGAGCATAGAGAACACGTTGATGGAGTTGATCAACCAACACTTGGTGGTATATGGAATTTTACATCATGTTTGTGGAAGGAAGAGCCTCAACATCACAGTCATCTTGCATGGTATATTATCACAGGTCTTACAGTGCAGATTTACGATTAAGTACACCTAGTTAGGCACCTTTTGTCACAAAGTGGAATTCAAACATGTAAGAAAGGCCCCTGCAAAGAAAAAGAATGGAGTGCTTACCACTCAAATAGAAACAGAGCAGCACAAAATGGCAACTGGAGAAAGATGAAATCCCTTGGAACAAGAAATGGCCAGTCTGTGAAGATAATAAGCAGTAAAAGTATGAGGAATGGTCCACATATTGACACCAAAGAAGTTCTCCAATGGATGAAGGTAATGAGCAGCCAGGGACAGGACGAGGTTACAAATACAAAGGGAAATGCTTGGAAGAGACAAAATCAATCTGGAGAAAGAAAAAATAAGCCCGACGACTCTACTGACAAATTGTATCATAATAGTAATTGGATAATGATCATGAGATTGTTAATAATTCCAAGAAACAAAGAATGGGAATACTTAGTAACCATGGAAGGAATCAGTGCACGCCCCATCACAGGGGAGATCCCCAACCAGGCAGAGATAAATGATCTGCCATGAGATACAGAGCACCTGGAATACAAGCCATAACAATAATATGAAGACTAAGGCCCAACACAGAAGATCCAATGGCTTACACTAGAGGACACTTAACCAAGTGTCCACTTGCCTGAAGATGTATGAGACTAGAGATGAGTAGTTGGAAAACACTCCCACTAACTGTCCCTGTAGGGCTGTAGGGAAGTGAACCAGAACCCAATGAACTGCTAGGAGCCTACAGTGATGGAAGGTGTGAGGACTCCGAAAGTGACCACTAACCTGAAACCTCCTGAGCACACAGAAAATCACCCCAACCATAAAGGGGAGCACCTAGAAAAGGAGACATTATGGACTTGGAGGTGTTGACCTGATCCAGCCAACCAACCAAGCTAAGTCAGTCAAGAAGAACAGATGAAAGGAGCCTCCAAGGGATCCCAAATGAAGCTCCACTGGACCAACAAACCCATGAAGGGCAACACAACAAGACGTGATCAATACAGATGAGGGTTTTCCGAGAAGCCCATGTCCCCAAATGAGAGAGAACCTCATGCAAAATGAGAGAAGTAGAGGATGAGAGGCAGCAAACTAGAATCACCCTAGCCCTAAACCAAAAAGGGAGAAGACAGGGCCAAACTGAAGAAGAAATAAAACAACACCCTAAGATGAGCGATGTATTGTGTGGGAGTGAAGAAAAAACATTTCCACCTTCACCAGCCAATTAACCCAAGCCTCTACCCCTTGAAGAAATGAGGAAGAAAGACAGGATTGTTTTGTAAGGAAGCCAGACACCCTTGCCATGGTGGAACTGATGGCCCTTGGAAAGGAACCAAATGGGCAAAAAAACCCAGACCATCTAAACTGTAAGGAGCCAAGGAGAGATCAAAAAGAGGAGTTTGGACTGAAAACACACAACCCAAGGATGAAAGTCAGAATGCAGGGGAGAAGTTAATGAGGAGGAATGCATCTCATACAACATCCTCATCTTCTACAAACCAGGAGGGAAAACCCAACAAAGGGCTAATTACGACCCCATGGTGAATTCAATGTAGAAAGACTAATAATTGGGTCAGAGCCGACTGAATGATGATAGAGCATTAGTCCCTTAACTTTGAGGGGACAACAAACAGACAGGAATAAGACCTCCAAGTATAGGGATCTCCCTAGATGATGGCATCCTTGCAAAGCAAATCCCAAACCACATTCTAAAAACTCTTAGCAGGAAATTGAAACCCAAGGAGAAGGGAAATTCAATAAAGGACCAAATCAAATGTGATCACCCCAGAACCCAAAGATTTATGAGAAATTATCTTCAAACCTAGGCAAAGTAGTTGAAAACGTTGTTGTGTCATGTCTGATGGAATAAGAATGTGTGTACATTGTAGAACAATGCCACAATGGGTAAATTGCCACTTTCACCATGTGGAATTGAACCCTGAACCCTAGTACTGGTAGTACATATACATAGTGTTGTCCCACCATGGGAACATGAGCTCAGCCCCCACTGGGCCTGCACCCCAAAAGTCACCAAGACCACTTGTTCCCCCCCCGAAAAAAATAGTGCCCTAAAAACTGATGGTGAACACTCGGAAGGCCAGAACTGACCAGGGGAAGGAATGGGAAGAAGAGTATGTGGGAGAGAAGGATGGCTAAGTGAAGTTAAGCAACAGGGCTGACCTAACCCTGGGCTCCAAGATTTGGGAATACCCCCTAAAAATTACTTGGGACAAAAAAAAAGTGCCATACTCAAATATTGAGTGGAGTTGACAGGAGAAAAAAATAAGCAAAGTGTAACTCCAAAAAGAATTCTCAAAAGTATACGTATTCGTAAAACTTATGGGTGAGAGAAAAAAATACGTGTCTGAAAAATGAAACTATAAATTTTCACAATTAAGCGAAAAAATCAGTCTGAAAACATGAGTGAAAACACATCCGAACTGTAAGACTGCCAATCAAGATATGATTAACAGTTGCAAGATTAGAGAAGGTGCTAGTTACGATAGGGGTAATGTTGCATTCCTATTGTTGGAGGGTTGCTGCAGATATCTCACATTAACATACGTGAGGATAAGTAGCAGGATCAAGGCTAGTGGCGAACAAAAATTAGCACTGATAGAGGGCAGTATAAGTTGGGAAAGCTTTTTGTAAGAGTAGGTAAAATATCTTATCAGAATTGATAATTTAAAATCATTAAGAAAGCTTTTCTTTTATCACTCTTCACTTTTGAAACAATTTGATTTTATCCTGTAACAGAAATGATTATTTAGTTGTTAGTCAAATTATAAAAACCAACTAGCTTCTAACAGGCTAATAAAAAATCTCATTAGTAAAAGTGCTTTACAAATGTAAACAAAATTTTACAAACCTTATCAAGGTCTTTACTTTTCTGTTGTATATGAAACTGACATGCTTTTTTGATGCCTCTGAAATATACAGATAATACAAATTAACTGGAACAAGAGCAAGGTTCTGCAGAGAGATAAAATCACGGGTCTGTTAAAATGAATCCCTTAATAGAAAATGTCTTGTGTAACTCCAGTGACAAAAAATGAGGATAAAAATATGATGAACTGTTAGAATAAATCCTTTTTTAACCCTACACCACCTGGTACCATTTTTAAATCCCTTTCTACACATTTCACAAAGTGTTACTGAGTTATATTCAAAATTTCATTTAACTACTTTACTATCAATGTATTTTAATGAAAGTTGCATTATCAAGTAAGTTATGATATTATTTAAGCTTGTATTTCTTTATTTCAAAAGAAACTGCTAAAACAATAATTGAAAAGTTTACATTGAAGTGCAAGTGGCTATAGGAACTGAACTTTAGACTTTGTTATACAAAAAATGACTATAGATAAAAACCTTTCTTGCTGGCAATAAACCACGTGTATATACACTTGCAAAGTAGAAGCTGGGTTACTTAGTTACTGTTTTAAGTCAAATGGCATGCTTATAACCAATGGAAATAGCAAATTTTGCCCTTCAAGGTCGTTTATCCTTACACAAAACATATGGTATAGATCTGCTTTCCAAACTGTGAAAACGAGGCTAAGTTCATTGTTGAGAGAGGTGTCCGTAGCACTTGGCAATTTTCTCTTGCCTTATATGTATTAGTTGATAGCTAGATTGCATTTAGGTTTTACTATTATATTTTAGTTAATTATGTATTATTTGTGTTTTAAGACTTATATTGGAAAAGTTGAATTATTTTTTAAATTATTCTATACTTTTAATTGCTAAAACAGCTTTGAGTCACTTATGAGTGCAAGAAATATTATGATGGAGGGGTTAAATCTAACAGCCGAAATTACTGTAACATCACCCGCGAGCACTTGTTGATGCGTGTCAACATAAATAATTAAAGATAAAGAATAGGAGAGGAAAATCAAACATTAAAAATAAATTATAAGTGAATAGATAAAGTCATAAAATTATGCATGTCAATCACAGACATGTTATTAAAGGAATCAAAGAAGAGTTAACAGCATGTGCATATTCCTATTTCTTAATTTTAAAAATTTCATTTCACTATATGTTGCTGATATTAGCTAGAGGTAGTGATGTTGTAGAGAAACTGGCAAATAAAAGATAAACACCTTAAAAACTTTTGATATTCATTTAGGAGGTTCTAAAGATTATGCAAGTAAAATATGAAAATTGTCAGGTAAAAATTTGTATTTTTATACCTAACATGAAAATCACTTTGCAGGTGAACTATTCAGAGGCTGAGTGCAAATAACTACATTAAATAAAAAAAATTTATTAGAAAAAGTAGAAAAAAAACAAAATTAAATATATTATTTTGCTGAAACTATATACTTTTAAACAATTTCACCCACTACTTTTATTTTTGTAACAAAATATGATGAGAGTGATGTAACATGCAACAAATCAAAGCATCTGTTGCCAATGGTTAAAGGATGTCTTCAGTAACTTCAATAAGAAAAAAAGATTAAACAATGTCACTACCTAATAGAATAAATCCCATTTTTTAGAATATCTTCAGTAACTTCAAAAAAAAGAATAAACAAATATCTTCAGTAACTTGACCAACAAAAATAAGGTTAAACAATGTAACTACGTCTTAAAATAAACCTTTTCTTTAGAATATCTTCATTAACTTCAGTAAAAAAAATAAATTTAAACTATGTGATAACCTATTAGAATAAATTATTTCTTTAGAATATCTTCAGTAACTTCACCAAGAAAAAAACAACAAATATTGTTAAACAATATGACTACCTATTAGAATACACCCCTTTCTTCAGAATATCTTCAGTAACATCCCGGACAAAAGCCATGTATTCTTCTTCTTCTCGATATCTGAAGAGAAAAAAAACAGATGATGTAGATGATAGTTAAATGCAGTATTGATATTTTATTGAACACATAGCAATTAGTAGTAAATAGTCTACAGGATAAGACAACACTGTCATAGCTGAAATATTTTCTCTTCCAAAACCATAACAATAATTGCTGGTGAACCAGTATAACACTTTTGAATCCTCTTGTAATCCTCAGCATTCTACTAAACACATGTTTAAATTTCTCATCTGTGTTCAATTTTTGAGATTTGTATTGTTGACAAGACTTTGTTTTTCATTTTATTTTTTTGCAAAAGCTTTGATTTTTTATTATGAATTCTCAAATTATGGTGATTTATACTTAGTATTAAGTAAGTGATGTAGTTCACACTTAAACTTTATTTCTACTATGGCATTAGGAGGCTCACTAGCTGTTAGGGTTGTCGCAGTCATTTTTCAATGTGTTGTGGATTGCCACTTGCTTCCTGGATTTCCTACTCCTGTCCTATTGGCTAACTTTCTTTCTCCTCAGACAAGAATAACCTATCAGATTATGCCCTTAACCTGATTTTTTTTAAGTAGTACATTCCCATTTGTGAAACTACCTTAAATGTCCACTCTCTCTTTGGATTTCATTATCAGGTATGTTCCTTTATTAATATTTTGCCTGTGTTCTTTATTATTTTTCATTTTCTCATTCAATGACCCAAGATTTTTGGATTTCCTCCTTGCTTGTTATTAGGATTTATGCTGTCCTTTCCCTAATAGTTCCTTTCTCATGCCCAAATGCCTCGTCACCCCTCACATTTGTGGCTCCATTTGTTTTGATTCATAGACTTTCTTCCTTTTCTCAATTCCTTTTCATTGTTCTATGTCTGGCCAGCTTGGGGATTGAACCTCTTCCTTTATATTTCATTTTTCCCCTCTACCTTCCTGTAGTCTCTCTCCTAAATATGCCTTTTACTTGAGACACTTCTTCAGGCTTCAGATACATCTCTGCAGACATTCCTTCCCTTCTCTATTTAGCCTGTTCCACTTTTTATACTCTATCCCTCCTTACTTTGTTATCAGACTATCAGGACTCACTGGGTTGCATTGTTTACTGCACTCCTTCCCTTTTCTTGTGTTCTTATTATTCATATTTTACTCCTGTTCCTCATATAGATCAGTCTCCAGGCCTTCCTCCTTTTCTCATCTTCCCTCTTCCAGACATCTAATTAATCATTCTTTTTGTCAGTGATTATCACACACGTACAATTCTTGGGTACCCTTCTCTTCTCCTATTACTGATTTCAATTTCTGTCAACAGTCATTTCTCTTTTTTCCACCTTGGTCTCTTTTCTCACTCCTCTTCTCGTTGCTTCTCTTCCCATTTCCTTTTCTTCTCTCTCTGACCCCATCTATGGTCTTTTTTACCCAGTCTGCAGTCAGCCATGATCAATGTGTTGGACATCTTTCTACACATCTTTCTTGGCCCATTCTCCCTTTGTTTTCAACTCAGTGTCAGCCCTTCTTGTATCTATTGGTATGATTAGGGCTTTCGCTTGCCATATTCTTACACTGAGACTGACATTCTACTTCTTGGACTATTTACTTCTGTTAGCCCAATCTTGGATGTTTCTTCTTCTCCCACCACCCTTCTTTTATGGTGGCAATTCAGTGGGCGGTCTTATCCTGATATTTAAGTCCTTTTTCAGACCCACTCAATGTTGGATTCTTTTGGGTGTTTTCTTACTCTTTTGTCTTGACCAAGTTTAGCCTTCTCTTCTTCACTAAGGCATATCTTGTCACCAGGTTTTAAATTTTTTATTCTCTTCCTGCATGAAAAGTCCTTTCCCTTTTGGGAACTCTGGCTTCCCTTGAACCCTTCTTTCCTTTGTGACATACCCTCATGTATCTCCTACAATGGATGTTACAGACCCAGAGTTTTCTTTTATTGGGTCCTTTGTATTCTTTTTTGAGTCTATCCTCAAGGACTTTTCACAATGACTGGACTGTGTCCATACTAATTCCAGCATTTCCTTAGTGTCTCTCAAACTTCTTTGATGCTACTCTCTCTGAGTGAAACAAACCTTCTGACATTTGAATGTTGGACAAGCAATCTTTCCAAATCAATGTGCTCAACCTTCTTATTCCACACTGGGCATATTTCCATTTGTGCTCCTACTGGTGGTTCATTTAGTTATGTTCCACTCAGTCTATTGCATGGTCTTTTCTTACACCAACCATCCATGAGGCTCCTATTCCAGGACATTTTTCTTTCAGGCATTAGACACATTTTTGGACTCATTCCCATCATGTCAATCTTCTTGCCTATCATTTACTGGGAGCTTAAATTTTGGTAGCTGACTGTCTTTCTCAACCAGTTTGCCTTCTACCATTGGGCTAATCTCTACACCCCCCCAATCTTTCATGGGGTTTGCTCTTGGTTGGAAACACCCCTCTCTGACACATTTGCCACCTTTCTCAACTCCATGCTTCCTCATCATTCAGCTCTGGCTGTCTATTTTTTCAACTAGGCTTGGTCCTACCTCTTTCTATATTCCTACTCTCCTATTCATCTCCTCCCTCTAGTCCTCCACTTTACACACTAATTTCCTTCTTGAGTCCTGTAGAAGGCACCTCTTTGACCAGTTCAGCCTTTGTCTGCTTGACATTTGGATTCCCCTTTCTCTCCCTTCTCTCTCTTGCTTCACCTTCACACTTCCTTTCTCCATAGAAGGATATATTCCCTCCATCCTCACGTATGGAATTTGCTCAATCTGTCACCCACCAAGTTGGACTTTCCATTATGTGGCAGGCCTTTCATCACTGATCCTTTTGCCACCACTTTCCTCCTAACAGTCATATTGTGATCCAACTTTCTGCCTTTCTTACCTGTCTGTTTGTCAATGGCTTACTGATTTCTGCACTTACTTATTGTCAAGTGGCCTTTTTCTTTTCTCAGTACCATGAAGTGTTTCTTTTCCTATTCACTCCATTCTGTTCTGCTCCTTCATTCTCCTCTGTTCTCCTCATCCAAATCCCTTGCCAGACTGAGAACTTAACCCTTTTGTAACAGGAGCCCCTGTAAATGCTTTTCTGCACAAGTCACTGTGTTACATTCAAAATTTAATTAAACATCTTTAAAGCAATGTATGTGAATGAATTTAATACTATACTTTGTTATGATTCAGTTATATTTTATCTAAGTATTAAATCATTTATTACAAAATAAACATTTAAAAACTACTTAAAACTGCAGATGTATTTTCACGTGACCAACGAGCTATGAAAAATCTCAACTTTGACTCTCTCTAGCTTCAATAATACAAAGGTAATAGAGTAGAGGTACATTTAACCACTAAGATGCTTACATAACATTTTGACTGTTTCCTTTCAAAGTACTCTGAATGAATACATTTAAAACACCAAATAAATTTTTTCAACCCTTGACAGCTTTGACAGATTTGTTTGATCTCTATCCCTTCCATGTAGATGTTCCATACACATGTATATAACAATTAGAAAGAGCTCATTTTACAGTATAAACTAACAATGGTTATTTTTAAATTGGTGCCAAGTCTTCGTCACAGACTACATGACATTGCCTATAGTATTGTTCGCTACTTGATCGACTATAGCAATTATGATTGTTTCTTACCTAAATATGTCATAGTTAGAGATGTAGTTTAAATTGTATTTAAGTTTTATTATTATATTTTAGTTAATTATGTATTAGTTATGTTTTAAAATGTATAATTAAAAAGTTTAAATATTTCTAAATATACCTCATACTTCATGTCCATTATCAAAGCTTACGATATTATGCGCTGAAAGAAAATTTTGCCAAAGGATTGTGCATGTCTCCCAAAGAGACTGTAATATACCTCAAGGGCACCGTTGTCTTGTGCCGAGATGAATAATAAGTTGTAAAAGACAAGAAAGGAAAATAAAACATTAAAAATTAACTATATGTGAAAGGGAAAATTGAACAAAAAAAACTCTTTTAAAAATATTCTACAAAAAATTAAAAGGTATATATATTATTTTTCTATTTCCTATTATTAATTATTTCGTTGTATCGTACATTGATGATAATAGCTAGTTAGTGATATGGTAGAGAAAATGAAAAATAACATATAAACATTTATCTTAAAAAGCTTTTGATATCCTTTTAGAAATCTCTAGAGATTATGCAAATGAAATATGAAACTATAAAATGAAGAAATGAAGAAAATTATTTACACTTAAAAGAAAAATCACTTTGCACTCAATCTGTTAACAGTTTAAATGTGAGTAACTACAACAGCAAAATAACATATTTTTAGTAAAAACACCTAATTATAAAACTATCATTATTTGTGTACAAGATACTTATGATCTTTAATGAAGTCTTACCAGTTTTTGAGAGGATACGTTAAGAAATCTTAGAGTTACCGCATGTATTGTTGTACAAGTGAAATTCATGACTCGATTTCCATAAATTGCACGAGCTCACCACAAAAGGTTTTCCACAATCTCCTGTATGCCCTATTTCTCCTGATTTTTGTGCCATTTTTCTCTCCTGATCTCTTTCTTCCTTCTTCTCACCTATGTTTACCATTTTTCAGATTTCTATTTTATAGATGCTTCTCACACCCTCTTCACATACTGATCTTTCCTTCCTCTAGGAAAGTTAACTGTATTTCACTTCTGTTTCTCTTGCTTCTTTCTCTCGCCTATTGGACAATTCAGACTTGGATCAACTACTGTGTTCTGTTGGACTGTTTGGCGTACCTTACCATGGAACTCTCCCTTTTGGGATCCCTGCCTTTGTCTGTCCATACCCTGGGACACAACTTTTTTAAAGACCCCATTTTGCTTTTCATAGGAACCACCAGGTGGTTGGTGTTGCCTCCTAGGGTATACTTACCCAAAATCTACATAGAGCCAAGATAACAGAATGCTTTCATACCATCTGTTATGGCTCTATCTGTGCCTACTGTGTGATGTGGTGTTCCAAAAGACCACTTGAAGTATCCTTATGGTACATATATATATATATATTCACTGAACTGTTTGATCCAGACCATGTCTCTTCTATGGACTATCAGGGAAAACGCCAGCACCAGTGAAATGTTCTGCCAATTTCTCTAGCTAACAATTGTTAGCTTTTAAAAATAGGGTTTTGTGGTCACCCATTGCACTGTCACCAGGCCTTTTAGACCTATCCAGACTTGGGGATCCAAGCATTTTCTCCAGATCTCCCCTGTAAAAGCTCTTTCCTCTTCATCAAGTGGTGCACAGAAGACCCTTGCCACTTACCAGTTCCTAACCACTGGGGTGGTAGACCATGGAGAACCCTCATCAGATGGATTCAGTCACTGGGATAATACAAAGGAGTACCAATACAGTAAAAAGTAGGGCAGTGGTTATGCTGTTAGTGTACTGCAGATCACCTCTCATATAAATCATATACATCACTCATGCCACTGAGTCTGTTCAGTAGAGTTCAGGTGAGCACACATTACACGTGGATCGATACTGCACGATACAGTGCCCTCTTGCAGATAGTGTCTGTCCCATCTGCATCCGTTCAGTAGATTTGAGATGTGCACTCACCTTAAAATACCATTAGATATCTATATCTAATATATTATTCTCCTGCAGCCAATGTCTGTTCAGTAGAGTTGAGGTGAACACACTTATATGGCTCCATACTGCATAACAACAGTGCCACAACTGGGCATAGACTCTGACAGTAGAATTGAGCATGAATACTCACTATACAAAACCATGATGTAATGATGTATTACTAATGTGCCCTTCTCCAACAGCTGGATTTCGTCCTGTAGAGTCTGAGAGTAGATTTGAGACATGCATTCAAATACACATTACATAAAAAATGTGACCTCCTCCCACAGATGGAGTTTGACAGTAGAGTTGAGGTGAGCAAACAAATCCATATTACACGATTAATCTTCCCTCCTCCAATAGCTGGAGTCTGTCCCTTAGGATCTGATGGTAAAGTTGAGGCAGACGCACAAGACATGGTCTGAACAAGCCCCAACCACATTACACATATTGGTTACCCAACTACTTGTGTGCAAGTACTTGGATGGTCATGTTCACATTCTGCCCATCTCTGTAATATATGGCTTCATTGTCTCTTCCTTCTTCTTTCCTTTACAGGCAAACAGCATAACCTAGACAAGATCAGATGCATTCTCCCATGGGTGTGCCCCTATGGAGCCCCTGCCATCAGGTTTCACAGCCCATGGGCTTCCTTCAGATACCAGTCCATTCACCACTTCAATGTGGGATTCTAGCTAATCTGTGTAAGGAGGTGAGGTATTGTCTTGCAAGTTAACATTTTCCTTGCCTGCAAATGTATTTCTGATAGATACTTCCATACACATTCCAACCATCCTTCTGGTGCACTTTTTTTTCCTCGCCTTGTCAAAAAAAAAGGAAGTTTCACAAGTGCAAATGCATAGGGGGATTATTGTGCATGGAGGTGTATCATCCTCATACTAGTAGAGGATTGTTTTTTGCATGATCACATCATCATGCAGTATCACAATTCCCATAAAATAATGTGAAATTAGGTGGCAGATGTGTGAAGAGAGACAGCTAAACTGTGTAAGGAGGTGAGTATCTAAAATACATTTTCAAGTAAAGAAAAAGTTTTACAAGCGTGTATAAAGGAAAAACTGCAAGTGAACCAACATAACACTGTTGAAGCTATCTTGTAATCAAGTAATTTTACAGGTGTGTATAAACAAAAATAATAATTACTGGTGAACCAGCATGATACTGTTGAAGCTAATTTGTAATCTATTAATTTTATAAGTATCTAAAAACACAAAAATAACTGCTAATGAACAACTATACATTTTTTAAGCTATCTTGTAATCTAGTAATTTTACAATTATGTATAAACCACCATAATAACAGCTGGTGAACCAGCATAATACTGTTACATCTCTGGTCGTTTGTTAATTTCCTGTATAATTTCTTTCCGATGAAACCTTAGAGACACAAGTCCTTTCTTAAATAAAACTAGTTTATTCTTTCTCAATACAACTTTGCAATACACTTAATTTCCACAGTCACTTTAACGTAAATACACGCTATAATTCACAATGATTCACGCACTTTATTTATGGTCACTACCGCGCTTGACTCAATTGTCCGTCTGTATCTCTGCCTGTCTGCAATTATCTATGCCGTCACTTCTTGCCAGTTTTATATATTCAAAAATAGAGGGCATCTGGCAAACACTAGAGTTGCCAAGAACAGTAATGATCCTTCTAGAAACTCATGACATGTTACCAGCACCACGTGACTTCTTCTGTCGTAACAATACTATGGAAGCTATCTTGTAGTTTAGTGCATATAAATTGTATTGAATTGTATTCACCTACAATTATGGTTCCTGCAGCTTTACCTTCATTTCCAGAAGAGGCATTTGTGTCACTGAACTGCTCATTAAGTGTATAATTTGAATAGCTATTCTATGATATACATTTATTATCTAAAGATGAGATCTGACTGATGCAGGTAAAAAGATAAATACGGTGTATAAAGAAGTATTAAAGGTACCTCAACATAAAAAATGTTACCTTTCTATTTGACTGCTACTGATGGTGGTTTTGCCTTGAGGAGTTTCATTGAAAGCTGAATCAACACTTGGATCTTCCTCTTGGTGATCTAAAACCCAGAAGATCTTCTGCCTTGCTTGGGCTCTTCTGGCTTGATCATGCAACCATTCTTCAGTTACAGTTTCCTGTTTATCATCCAGCTTCTTCTCATCTTGACTTTCAGCTGCAACAACAAGCTATATGCAAACCAGAAAAAGTCTTGACTCCAGTTACAATAAACACAGAACTGATGATTTTAAGCATGTCAGACATTCATCTTGCAAAGCTTTCAATTACATCTTCAGTTCTTCACCACAAACTAAAAACAACAACTAACCAAGTTAGCATTATTTGTTTCTTTCATGTAGAAGTGTTAGTTGAGAAATAATCAACCATTATGCTGCATATCACCTATTGTAATTTTATCAGATATACATAATACATTACACATAAATAACTTACTTCTTACATTATACATTAATAACAACTTAACGTGTGAGTGTTTGATTGTATTTTTATTGATGCAATTTTTATATGTAATACTGAGAAACTGGAGTTCTTAAAGAAAATATTATTTTTTCAATAAACGGTACTACTTTTAATATATAAAAACATTACAGTTTATATCAGTAAAATGTATGAAAATTTTGAGTTCTGTACGTTGAATCATTTTCATGCAATGGGTTGCATATGACTAAAGAGCACAATTCGAACATTTTTTCCCGTGCAGTACTTCCCAGAAAAAAATCCTTTTTTTAGAAAATGTTACTTTTTCTAAATTTTTTTCAATGAGGTATGAATACTATGATTAGTAATTACTAGCACAAACAGCCACCTCTAGGGCAGCATTTCTGCTACTTAACAATAATGTACTACTTACATGTTAAGAGCAACTTATATTACATATTAACAGCAACTGACTAATCATATTACATGTTAACAACTACTGAATATTAACATGTTAATAAAAACTTATTGTATAAAAGATATAATGTAGTTAACATATTATTATACACCTTATTTACATTCACTCACATTATTTTAATGTCAGAATTTAAAATAAAAAAAATAGTATATATATATATATAACTTTCCTTTCTGCCAGTTGTCAAATAGAAAGGCTTTTAGTTATATTTCTTAGTAGTATACATATACACTATGTTGTTGTTGAGCTTAGGATTCTTTTACAGTAGGAGTCTGTGACTTGTTAACGATAAGTTCAATGATGAATAAACAGCACGCACTTCACTTGTTTTCAAAATAATATATGTATTCAAAACAAGTTAAGGTATGTACAATAAATTTTTCAACACTATAGATATTATGAGCATATCATAAATACCATTTATATACAGTTCTCTCCTTATTGTCAAATATCCACTTAGGCCTATTCAATTACTTTAGAATTTCAGTTGACAAGTCTTATTGTCAAATATCCACTTAGGCCTATTCAATTACTTTAGAATTTCAGTTGACAAGCCGAACTATCCTCTCTATTTCTATCGCACTAGTATTCTCTGTGATTCACTTAAAATTGTGGCACAAATTACCGTAAACTTTTGGTCTTCTTTTCTTTTGAAGATCCTCTGTTCCTTTTGTCAAAGTGCACTCGGGCTGATTCAATTACTTTAGAACCACACTTTGACAGAATAAAATTATTTTTCTTATCTTCTTTCTACTGTTAGTTTCACTCTAACATATTAAATGTTAGGCCTATGTCAATCTTTAGGCCTATCACTTCTATGGTAGGTAACTTCACACAAACTATATTCTCTTTTGCTATTATCTGTCTGCTGTTGTCTGTCTACTGTTTCCTGCTTGTCTCATGCTATTTATATTGTTACGTCTCCGTTTGTTAATTGATTTTTTTC